GCTTCACTCTGAAAGTTGTAGGTATCAAACTAGGCAGGACCATCATTTAAATTCATATTTATGTACTTTTTCCTCTGTCGTCCAAGTGGTCAAACTCTCAAACAGCTGAAACTTCCTGCAAAGGGAGGAACCTTAAACTGCTGCGGAGTCAAATTAAACCCCAGCACTGTTTAAAAATCCCATTATTTCCTTTTGTAGGAGCTGAGCAGCTGATTAATGCCCTCATAAAGCCTCTTCTTTGAGGCTGACTGCAATTACAGAGCATGACAACACTTTTATCTTCGGGCTGCACTGGCACAGGATGGATTTGTCGTGTCTGTCTCTGGTTCTTTGCCCTCTTTGCAGGCAGGTGACTCCGGAGGAGAAGGCAAAGCCCCCTGTGCTGCTGCCAGGAACAGCCATCCCAGTGCTCCCTGCTGGAGCTGGTGATTCCTGAGGGTCTCCCAGCCCTGCCACAGGAGGCTCATGGCACAGGGACACACAGGACTGGCAGTTCTGTGCCAGGAACAGCACAAGCACTCTGCTTGTGAACTTCCTCAATGCTCCCCTTCCCTGCAGCTCCCTCCTCTCCCGGGAGTGCTGGGTAAACACAGTTCAGATGATTCAAAACACTGCACACTCACAAGGCTTGCTTGGCCTTTTATTCCTTCCAAAACTCACCTTTTTGCCTTCCTTTGTGCTCTGGATGTGAGTGAGGAGGGACTGTGGGGATTCCCCAACATCAGGAGCTGTATCTGACAGTCACCCTGGGCACCCAAACAGGCACCTGGAGGGAGCAGGGCATGGAAAGTCCTTCCAGGTGGCTTTCACACAGCAGGGGAGGGAGCTGAATCGATCTGAGTTCATCCAAAGTCTTTCTAAGCCGTGTCAGGATATCAAATACAGCCACAAAGTGCAGCCAAACTCCCCCAGTGTTCAGCTCATCCTGGCTGCTTCTAGAAAGGTCAAAATTATGGCAAATTAACTGTGCCACAGGTAGGATTTTTCACCAGCCTTTGCCTTACTGTAATAAAAAGGACCTTAAGCTCATCCAGTTCCATGGGCAGGGACAACTTCCACTGTCCCAGGGTGCTCCAAGTCCTGTCCAGCCTGGCCTTGGGCACTGCCAGGGATCCAGGGGCAGCCACAGCTTCTCCAGACACCCTGTGCCAGGGGCAGCCACAGCTTCTCCAGACACCCTGTGCCAGGGGCAGCCACAGCTTCTCCAGACACCCTGTGCCCACCCTCCCAGGGAACAATTCCTGCCCAGTATCCCATCCACCCCTGCCCTCAGGCAGTAGGAGCCATTCCCTGTGTCCTGTCCCTCCAGGCCTTGTCCCCCATCCCTCTCCAGCTCTCCTGGAGCCCCTCCAGGCCCTGCAAGGGGCTCTCAGGTCTCCCTGGATCCTTCCCTTCTCCAGGTGAGCACCCCCAGCTCTCTGAGAGCAGCCCTGGGAGCATCTGATCCCCATCATCTCTCAGATCCATCCCCACAGCTGCGGCCTTGGCTGCTCTCACACGCTGTCACACGAGGAGCCTGGATGCATTTCAGACCTGGACTGCTGCTCCTCACCAGGATTCCTCATGCTAATTAAAACTTCATTTGTTCCCCGCAATCAAGCTGTACGTGTGGAGCTGAGCGCTGGGCCCAGAGGAGAGTGGGAGTTCACAGAGCTGAGCTGCAGCTGGGTGCTGGGAGCAGCAGGGGCAGCACTGATCTGGGAAACCTTTTCCCAGAATGGGGAACAGGGCTCTTGTCCCTGTGAATTCTGGCTCATAATCACAGCCTGTGAAAACAAAGGCAGAAAAACCAAATCCTTCTCTGTTTTATCCCTTCTACTCTGCATTTATTCCACCCCTCTGCTCCCACCTCCACATCCAGATCCTGTCCCATTCTTACCACTCCTCCCTCACCTGGTCCTTCACTGCACTCTTTGGCCCCAGCCTGGCCCTGCTTTTTTCTGGTCCCAGTTCAGCGTTTCTGGGATCTTCCCAGAGCCTCCCACAGCTAGGAGTGTGGGGGAATACCAAGGGAAGGGATGAGACAAGCACTCCTGGTCCCACATCCCTGGTCAGTGTCTGAAAACTGAGGAAACAAATGGGATTTGATTTCACTTAATAATTATTTTAGTTCATCTGCTTTCTCTACCTGAGCCTGGGCAGAGCTGTCAGTGCTGTGATGGGAACATGACAAATAACACATTTCTTTCAGCAGTACCTGGAAATTTTGCCCAAAAGTCTACATGCTGAAGATCTGGGGATCAGATTTTGGATTTATCACATGGAATTACCCCATCAAAAACAGCACTTGCAGTGTTTTCCTGAACTGTTTTGGGTGGTCTCAGACCTGTGGTTTGTGCCAATATTTCTGCATGGGAGCCCATCCTTAGGGACCAGCTGGGCAGCCTGTGCACTCACCAAGGCTTCAGAAACACAGGAACTGGGACTGAATCCCAGGATTATTGATGAAGTCACAACAGAGTGAGGTGTGGCAAGACCCTGCCTCGGCTGGAGGTGGCCCAGAGACTCTTTACCAATGCTGCCATCTAGAGAGAGACACTCCATCTCCAGAGTGGAAAATCCTCCAGAAAACCAGGATTCCAGAGCTTTTGTGCCTTAAGAACAGGGGTTCAACCAATCCCCTTGTGCTGGGAGTCACCCCGGACACCGGGGGCCACCCTGGACACCGGTTCCTGCCAGGTCCTGGCCATGGCACCTCTTCTCGAGCAGCCAGGCTGGGACAAGGAATTCCTGAGCACAGTTTGGGGCTGGGCTGAGCTCTGCTCTGGGCTGTGGCTGCTCTTCCCAGGAAGTCCTTGGGATGTGTTTCCATCTCTGTGCAGTGCAAGCTGCGCCCAGAAATGAGATCCTGCCTTACGTAAAGGTTACAGCTGAGACATCTGGATCTCATTGGGCTCCTCCGGGACAGGAGGCCTGAGCTCTGGCCTGGAGAGAGGCAGAGAAAGAGCAGGAGTCATTTTTCATGCAAATCTCCATCTGCAGAGGGGCTGAGTCTCTGCAAACCCCTCCACGGCCACGGCTTTGGCGAAGGCAGCCCTTCAATGCTGCGCAGACTGACCGTGCTCCCCTGTTCCTGCTCTGCCCCTGACCTGGAAGGGCTCCACCAGGATCCAGCCCAGGGGTGAAAGTGGATTTTCTGAGAAAATCAGGACTAACTGAAGCTCAGGAGTCTCCCATAGCTGGAGCTTCACCAGCTATCCTGACCCACAGCCACTTTCCCTGCATGTGCACTCAGGGGCGTGCTGGCACTGGGGCAGCTGCCAGGAGCTGCATCCTGCTCAGTGAAGGAAATCCACCCAGGCCACCCCAAAGGGATGTCTGGCCAGCAGCCACAGAACCACACAATCATTTAGGCTGGAAAAGCCCTCTCAGACCATCGAGTCTGACTGTTCCCCAGCACTGCAAATCCCACCACTAAACCACGTCCCCAAGTGTCACATCCACGTGGCTTTGAAAGCCCTCCAGGGATGGGGACTCACCACTGCCACGGGCAGCTGTGCCAGGGCTGGACAGCCCTTTTGGGGAAGAAATTTTCCAAAATCTCCAACCTAAACCTCCTGTGGTGCAGCTTCCTCTTGCCAAGTGGCCAGTATCAGAGAGGAGCCCGATCCCCAGCTGGTTCCAGCGTCCTGGCAGGGAGTTGTAGGAACATTTCCCCATGGCACAAAGCTCCAAATGCCATCAGCCAGAGAGGCAAGGGCTGCACAGGCACAGATTGTCACAGGGGGAACACTTTGGGCTCTACTTTGCAGCTCCAGTAGGTGTGGTGGGAAGGAGCAGCTGGAGGAACTGAGCCCAGATAAAGCCATGAGAGCACAGGAAACTTTGCCTCTCCTTCTGAAGGTGCTGAAAGAAGCTGGGAGCCCCAGGAGAGGAGAGCAGTGTGTCACCAGCGAGCTGTTAGCACCAGTCAGCACCAGGATGGGCAGAGAGCAGCTTTTAGCACAGTTTGACTGGAAAACTCTCACAGTTCCATGAGGAGGAACCCAGGACTGACCTGCTTTAACAAGAGGCCAACCATAATCTCCAGGGTCACTTGTTCACACAATGCTTGAAAGGCAAATTAGAGCAGCCAAATTGGTTTTCCCTCACTAATCCCAGCTTCCTGGTTTAGTGCTCTGCAGCCAGCCATGAGGGAGGGAAACCTCTGGATCAATCCTGCCAAGGGAAGCACTGGGCAGGCACAGCGTGGAAAACACAGCTCTCCCAGCCTCAGGCTCTTCCTGGGTCTTACTCTGGCTTTCAGACTTATTTGCATCTGGTTTTTGGGGGCTTTTATCCCCCCCACAGCAGAGCAGCTCCCCCAGCAGAACTGTCAGTGCAGATGGAGCAGCAGAGACCCCTCACCTGTGCACAGGTGAGATAAAAAGCCTTCTGTCAGCACATCCAGACTCCCTTGGAAGTGGTGCTGGCAGGTTGGGAGGAGGGTGGGATGTTCCACATTCCTGGGTAATAGAGCTGCTCCCCCAGGCCTGCCCAGGGACCCAGCCTAAGTTTCAGCCCTGGGCAGAAGGTGAGATGGGACACAGGGATTGCAGGATTTGGGTGACAAAGACAAGCAAACCAAGAGGGGACAGGACCTAAACCCATCCCACTAGTGTGAGTACTTCCAGGAAAAGGGCAGGAAGGTGCAGCTGCACAGCCCTAACATCAAACCAACTACAGCTGTCTTCAAAGTGACCCTCTCTGTGCCCTTGGATAAGATACTGCACATTAATGCCTGCAAATCTGATTATTCCAAGGCTCTTACTGTCCACATTCAACCAAACAAGCTCATCCGAACTGGGATAAAGTATTTGTGCTCCTTTCCCAGGAAAGTTTCCAATATAGTAATAAAAGCCTGTGAATTACTGAAGAATTTAGTGTCTCTCTTATTTCTAGAGCCTTTTGTTTGAGGAAAAGCCAGGAGTCCACGTGTTGCCCCAAAGTTGTGTAAGGAGCACCACACCCAACCTCCAGCAGTGCTGGGGACAAAGAGAGGCAGCAAAGGGGACAAGGGGTGCTGAGGGCTTGGGTTTATTGGCTATCCTTAGCAGCAAAACAGTGTTCTTAAATACAGGGATAAAATCAATATTCCTCTTTTAGTGGCAATTTGCCAGGGGAGGGGCTGGGCTGCCTGCCCCAGTGCTCGCTGCAGCACAGGCTGGCTCTATGTGATGACGGTGGGCCCGGAGCGGCCGGTCCTTTCGTGGAGCTGGGAAAGTTTCAGTGCAATGGAAATGAGAGGTGCCAGCATCACCTGCAGGGAGGAAAGAGAGGGCTCAGAACTGCAGAGCTGCACGTGCAGCCTTCCCACACCGCGTCCTCAGCACCCAGGTCAGGCTGGGACACCCAAAGCTCAGCTCTCCTGACCCAAGGTTGCTTTGGGCTCACAACCCCAGCTCTGGGACCAGGGACAGGGATGCAGTGCTCAGAGAAAATCCCAAGCTCCAGTGGTGCTTCTGCTGCCCTCCCTGTGCTGGATCCCAAACTCCACGTCAGCACAGGACAGGCAAATCCTAACTTCCCCCCCCACCTTCACAAGGGGGGATTTTCAGTCTTTTTGTTAATTATGGCACAGTAAGTTAGGCACAAAGAGCCAACAGAGTGTTTACTGGGGAATACACAATCAGAATATCCTGAGTTGGAAGGATCCCCAAGGATCATGGAGTCCAGCTCCTGGCCCTGCACAGACACCCCAGCAATCCCACCCTATCCTGGGAGCATTGTCCAAACACTCCTGGAGCTCTGGCAGCCTTGGGGCTGTGCCCATTCCCTGGGGAGCCTCTTCAATGTCCAACCATCTTCTAGGTGAAAAACCCTTTCCTGATATCCAGGCTAAACCTAAATACAAGAGGAGGATTGTTTTCCTCCAGTGTCTACAAGAGCTCAGCAGCATTTGTAAGTGATGTTGCAGAACATTTACTGAACTCAGTGCAGAACAGGGCAGTCTCACCTTAGGTACAGGTGATGCTGTGATCCACTCTTTTTGTTAAAGCAGACACAGGGGTAACACAGACAGGAAGACTGTGCTGTGGCAGAGGCAGCTGTGAGGGATTCCCAGAATACTTACTCCACATTGAGCTTTTTTTAAATAATCCTATTTATACCGGCACGAAAGATACAAACCTCTGGCTCCCAAAATTCCTGTCACCTCCACACATCTCCAAGCAAAGCAGGGCTGAGAAAGGCCTGAATTCAGGCAGCCAGCAGTGGCAGGAGTGAGGTGCAGCACCCACCTGTGGGTCTTGGTTGATCTTCTGAGCATCCTTCTCGTAGCTGTCGATGTAGAGGCGCACGGTGGCCCCGGCGCTGCCGGTGCCGCTCAGCCGGAAGATGATGCGGGAGCCGTCGGAGAAGATGAGCCGCAGGCCCTGCTCGGGACACGGCAGGGAGGGAAGCTCTCAGCTCTGGGCTCATGGCTAGCCAAGGGGTTTTCCATGATCCCCATGATGCCTCAGGTTTAGCTTTTATATTTTTCAGATTCTGTGCTGCTTTAGTGTGCAGTTCTGAGATTTGCATTAGGGGATGGTGAGCTCTGTGCACAGAGCAGGGAGACAAAACAATTCCTGCTCCAGCTGGGCACCAAGGACAAATGATCCAAATCTCAGGCCCAAGAGCATAAACAGCAGAATCAAGAGAGAAAAACAACAATGGGACTTCATGGGCTAAAGCTGTAATTGGACAATTAACTCCAATCTGCAAATGGAGCAGAGCTGATCCCAGGGAGAGACCCCGTGAGCACTCATGCATTTTGGGACCATTTGGGTTCATCCTGGGTGAAGCCCTGGCGGGGCTCTTGGGTTGCCCAAGGGTTATCCATTTATCCTTTTAATAAATCCCTGTTTTATTCTTTAATTCTGTCTAGTCTCTGTTCTAGGTCAGCATTCACAAGCATCACCCAGCGTGGCTGTGCCTGACCTGCACCATCCCTCCTCTTCAGGAGCCACAGGAAGCTCCTGTGTTCCTCTCTCCCCACTCCCAGAGGGATTGATGCCCATCCTAACCCACATCGCAGACCCTGAAACAAGAACCAAGGACTGCCTGCCAGACACAGCATTCCCAGCCCAGTGCTCTAGATGGAAAGAGGACATGGAGAAAACAGTCCCAGTTCAGCCCAGGCCAGGCTGTGCCCACCTGGTTCCTGGAGACGCTGCCATCCACGGGGTCGTTGTACTCGAAGTTGTCGGCTTTCTCCACCGTGTAGACTTTGTCCCCGCTCGACAGCTGCTTCCCCACGAAGGAGCGGTCGAACATCACCGTCTCCAAATCCTTCATCATTTTGTTGGCAGCATCTGCATCCACCTCCTCGTAGTCGTACCTGCAGCCAGCACCACACACAGGGATTAGGGAGGGAGGGTGCAATGAGTTGTGATGGTTTGGGATGCTCTTCTCGAGCTCCCATCCTGGAGAGGACAGGTAGAAAAGGCACATCAGAGCACCAGAACACATTGCTCAGAGAAACTGTCCCTGGATCCCTGGCAGTGTCCAAGGCCAGGTTGGACTGGGCTTGGAGCAGCCTGGGACAATGGAAGGTGGTCCTGGCCATGGCAGGGGGTGGGACTGGATGGGCTTTAAGGTCCCTCCCAATCCAGCCCAGTGTGGGAGTCTGTGAAAAGAGAGCAGGATTCGTGTGCAGCACTACAGCCACATCCCCACAGATCCTTGGGATACAGCACAGCATATCACAGGCATTTGGTGCCAGGAGATGAAAGCACAAAGTGCTGTCTCACAGCGAGTATCACAGACCGAGGGCCAGGGCCAAGATCCAACTGACTGCCAAGAATTTCCTGCAGTTGTGCCCACAGCACCCCACCAGCTTCCTCGTGGTTCCTGTGAACACCCTCAGTGCGTCCCCCCAGCAAACTGCAGCTGTGACTGCAGCAAGAAAACATCCAGTGCCAGCTTTGATGTCCCTGCCCGGGCAGGAGAGGCAGCAGAGAGAGGCTGGAGCCCACTCCAGGATCCCAGAGTCTGTGTTCCCGCTGCCAGCGGGATTTGTGCCGCTCTGTTTGCCGCCTGAGCCGCCCATCCCTGTGCTCAGCCTGCTCTGCACACATACCTCGAGTGCTAAAAGGCTGCCTTTTCATCCTAGACTTTGGTATTTTCCCCCAGGTTTCCATGCCTCAGATGTGTGCTGGCTTTTTGGGGAGGGAAAGAAAGAAAAAAAAACAAAGGAAAGGCAAGTTCTTTCACTCGGCAATTTGAGATGGAATTTTCATGTAGATCTTCCAAGCTGAAAGATTTCTGCCTAATGTTTTCACAGTGTTCCCACCTCTGCTTGTGTGCAGGCTGGTTCTCATTCCTTCTCTTGCCATCTTCCATGTCCACTGCAGCTTAAATTTGAGTATTTGGGGACAGGACAGGAACTCAACCAGGTAAATAACAGCCATGGGGCTGGGCATCTGTTCTATGAGATGCCCTGTCACTGAAGATATCACAAAATAATTTGTGATGTGGGGCCTCAAGAATATTGATCCCATAGCAAAAATTACTCTTGAAGGAAAAAATCTCAAAAGAAAAAAAAGGTGCTTTGCACTTATAAAATGTCCAGACTTTGGTACCAGATTTACATCTGGAGTAACAACCCAAAGCTGGATGCCATGAAGGGTTAAGGTGAATCCCCATTTCATGGCACCCAGGAATGCTGCCAAGTGTTTGGGGAGTGGAGTGACACAGGAACAGCCTGAAGGTGACACAGCAGTGCCATCAGGGCTCTGCTCTGCCACAGGACAGGGAATGGGAGGTGTCAGGAGCACTTCCCCACCTGGTGAAGAAGTTCCTGCCATACTTCTGCCAGTGGTCCTTCATGATGTCCTCCACGCTCTGCTTGCGCGCGGCCAGGATGGAGAGCCAGGCCAGCACTGCCCACAGCCCGTCCTTCTCTCGGATGTGGTCAGAGCCTGTGGGGACACAGCACAGACACAATTCCCACTCCTCACACCACAGCCGTGTCTCCTCTCCCCATCCCCCTGCACAGCTCACAAATGGGAAGCACTTCCAGAGCTCCATCCCTGCTGGGTCATTAAAATGGGTCAGGATCTCCTCTGCTCCAGCTCCGGCCCCAATAAAACACTCAGCATCTTTTAACACACACACACACTCTCATTGTTCACACATCCTTAACTCTGTTCCCAAGGAAGTAATGGGGAAGGCATCAAATAAAAAACAAAAGGCAAATGCAAAGGAACAGCTTGGGAAGGAGAGCATCAACAAGGAGAACATCAACTCCTCAGCAGCTGTTGTGTCCTGTGTGCCAAGGAGTACCCTGGGATCATCTCAGGACCAAGGGGAATGCCAGCCCTCCTGAAGAACCAAACCCTAACAACCCCAAAATCACCCCAGAACAATGAGAGGAGCAGCAGGGCAGGGAGCACCAGCCATGGGGCTGGCAGCAGCAGGGCAAGGAGAGGCTCCATCCACGTGCTGAGACCAGGAGAGCCTCCAGCCTGCTCTCACTGGGGGCTGGAAAAGCTCCTCTCTTGGCTAAAGGAGGATTCGCAGAGTGGATCAGGTTGGAAGGGATCTGTGGGGTATCTGGTCCAACCTCCCTGCTCAAGGCAGGGCCATCCCTGAGCCCAGGATTGCATCCAGATTTTTGATATCTCCAATGAGGGAGACTCCACACCTCTCTGGGCAATCTGTCCCACACAGTAAGGAAGTTCTTCCTCGTGTTCAGGTGGAATTTCCCAGGCCTCAGTTTGTGCCCATTGCCTCTTGTTGTGGATTCCCCCAAAGCTGGCACTGCAAGGAGAGCAGGAAGCAGCCAGAGGCAGCCTTGCCCTGGAAGCAGAGTGGGATCACACAGCACTGATCCTTTGGGAAACCTGAGAGGTGCTGGACCTTACAGAACCCCCAAATTAAATGGGATCAGATGGCCCAGAACACACCCAGCCCACACTCAGTCCCTCTGGTGAGCCAGTTCCACCCTGTGCCCCACAGATGCAAAGTTTCCCCCCTCCTACTCTGGAAAACCTCCAAACATGTATTAAAGAAATGCCAGGAGCACTCCAGAGCTGCCATGCCACCCTCTGAAGGAGTGCCAGAGTGGGAATCCCCTGGGAAAGGGCTGGGGGCACAGCAGGGGTTACATGGTGCTTTGCACAAATCCCACTGTTGTGGATGCGGCCATAAATTATCCTCATGGTCCCTCAGGGTGGAGAGAGCTGGGCAGAGGTGATGGAGAGGAATGCTAAATAAACACCAGTCCCATGTGATGTACCAACTTATTGCTGGACAAAATACCCAGGGAAGCAAGCAGGAATTCTGTCATGTCGCATTACTCTAATTGCTGCTGCGCTCCGGTCCCACTGCCTCACAGTTTGTTTCAATTTTTACTGGGTCTTTGGGCTGCTCTTTCACCTCTCTCCCTTTCAACACTCCCATTCTGTCCAGCTCCAAACAACTCTTCATTAACTTCCTGTCAAATCCACCCTCCTCACCCCTTTTTCATTCCTTTTTCCTTCCTAAGTGCATTTGCCACATGGGCAAACCCCTTTGCATTTTAGGGGACTCCAACTCTCCTGGGCCTTTTCCCAATCTGTTCCCCCAAACTGTTTCAGCTCCCACCACTTGCATGTGCTGCTGCCTGGCCAAAATCCCAATCCTCTCTCTCAGACTGGAATCACCTTGATTTGGGAGGCAGTCCCTCAGGGATGGAGAGAAACTGAGCTTGTTGCTCATACAAAGGTGGAAACAGTTTTGGGGAGCTGCTCATTTGAGATCCTCTCCCATCAGCAGCTCCAGGAATTTGGTTTTGTTTATCTCCTGAAGCACCAGTGCCCTCTCATTAGCCAAGGTCCAGGATATAAACTCAGCACATGCTGAAATCACTCAGGGCAAAACTCCAGAATCTTTCCTTACTCAATATTTACTTCAAGATTTCCTTACAGAGATACCAGGCTCTCTGAAATTCACCTTTTCTTCCAACCCAATCCCAGTCCCACATATCAGAGTAATATCTGACTGCAAAAATATTGCTCCTGGAGGCTGCTCAGCCCCACAGCACCCTGCTGCCCCCCAGAGCTGTGATCCCATTTCCTCAGCCCCAGGAAAGCTGGGCTAATCCTCTCCTGTCAAGCTGTGCATCCCAGCTCCACATTCATGCAAAGCACTTCACTCCAGGTATTTGGGAGTTTAAGGCTCCCACACACAAGGGTTTTTCTGGGGTGATGGTAGGGAAATACACAAGGTTTGAGTGAGAAATTCCCTCAGGACCTTGTGCCCTGCATATCCCACCTGAGATCCTCAGAGAACAGGAAAAACAACATCTCAGGGAGAGTTCAGACCAGATAAAACTCAGGTTTGTGCAGGAATCAGGTGCTGATTCAGGGAAGGTCCCATTTCCACAGACAGGACACAAAACCACAGGGCAGATGCCAGGGAGAGCTCAGGGAATGCAGAGACCTCCTGGGAATGCTGACTGTCCTGAGCACCCTGCTCCGACCTGGAGCAAATCCTGCTCCCATCCACTTCCCTGCAACCCCCAGAAAATTCCTTGTGATATTCACTTTGTTTCTCAGTAACTCAATAACTCACTTAGACTGTTCAAAGGCAAGTGTTAATTTAAAGTTTCTAAATCATACCTTGTTTTCAGAGCAGGAAAATGAGGGCCCTATTAAGCTCAGAGATTTAATAGTGACCTGAAACCTTCCCTAATAAAACTCCGTGCTCCAAACCGTATTTCTTTCCAGAAATGAAAACATTGAGAAGGTTTTCCTGGCCACCAAGAGTTGAAAAATACATTTAGCATTGCATTTAATCCCCACAGACTCAGTGACCAGGCTACTAAAGAGGCCCCCAAACCTCAATCTCCACACGCCTTCCTGGAGAGCTGGAGGAGAAGGAGCTCCTCCCTCACAAAACCTTTAGCACTGTGTTCATCTCCACACTAATTCCTCCAAGCCTTTTTTATATTTTAGTATTTTACAAGTATTAACAATAAATCCCAAGCTCTAAAGAATAAACAACTAAGAGGAGGAACAGCACCATCATGGGTGATACTGGGAACGCTGACTTACCAGTCCCAAAACTTTCCTCTCCACACAGAGACAGTTTGTTTGCATCCATCAGGTTTCCAAAGAACTTCCAGCCCGTTGGAGTCTCATACAAAGCAATCTTTGTGGCCTGGGCCACCCTGCCAAGGTAAGAAGGCCAAGTCACATCCCTGGATTCTCGGTGCTCCCAGGGGAAATGGGATCAGCAGCTCTCCTGGGTGCCACTGAAGGCAGGGGATGCCACTGCTTTAGAACAATTCCTCTATTTCATCCCAGTGTGATATCTGGGAGATGGCTGGGATGTGCATTTGCAGAACAGATGCAAACACACAGCTCTTCAAAGCAATTTTATGTTACAGATCTCAAAGCATTTCACCAAGAAAGCGTCGCTATCAAATTTAAGGAAAAGAAAGGTTGGCAGAGTCATTTGTTTGGGCTTAACTGTAGGGAAAAGGAAGAGCCAAGAGCTCAGCCCAGCTCTGCCATGTCCCCAGGCATGGTTTAACCCATCAAACCTTTCTGCTGCACTCCTCACCACACAAACACGGGACGGGTTGGGGTGAAACCTCAGGAAAGGGGCACGCCGTGCCCTGGCAGGGCTCCCTGCCCCATATAGTGACTGTCTCCCCTTCCATGTCCAGTGCTCTCACTACTGTCTACGGATTCAAACTATTCTTTAAGTTTTTTAAGAATGCTTTCCGCCCAGTTCTAAGACGTAGCCGCCTCTTACTATTTGGGACTCCTGTCCCCCCCATATTCACTCCCCTGGAGCCTAGGGCTCAGGAACAGAGATTCTTCACTGAAAGCTGAAGGTTCACCACACCCTCCCCCCAGTCTCTGTTCTTTTGACTTCTCTTCGCGGCTTTATCATTCCTAATGCCTAGCTAGCCGCCTCCCCCAAGGAGCAGTCTCTGCATTAACGGAAAAAACTGGCTTCACCCGTAGCTATATAAGAGAAAAGTCCGGCTCAAAGCCACTCCAATCATCTCTTCCATCTCAGGTGCTCATCTGCTAGCATTCTTTCTCTTACTCAAACCTTCTTCATCTTTCCCCTCCTCCATCCCTTCTCAGTTTTCAGCTGAAGAAAATTAGTGTTTTTACAGCTTCTATTGTTTCAACACTAAAAAGGTTAAAAGCACAGCCTGTCCTAGCAGCGGCTAGGCACCTTGCCTACCCCTTCTCCTCCCAACCGCTTATTCTTCTTTCTAAGAAGGCTGCCCAAACTATCTTAAGAACTCTTCTACCTCTGCATCTCGCAGCGGCTCCGGCTTCTCATTCTCAGGCCGCAGGCCTTTCCCCCCTCCCCCACCCAGACGCAGCTGGGCAGGGGAAAAAATCCAATCTGCTCACCTGCCGAACTCCAAAAAAGAAGTCTTTCTAAAAGTGCTCTGCTCTTAACCCCTGTGTGTTCTCAGAGCTGGTGGGCATGCTGCGGGCCAGGCCGCGCACCCCGGTCTGCTGGAAGTAGGGGATGCTGAAGATGTTGGCGGCGATGACGGCCACCGAGTCGGAGGGGTTGACGAAGAAGCCGTGCTTGCCCAAAATCATGTTACGGTCCTGGGGGAGACAGCACAGGCACAGCTCAGCTCCCTGCCCAGCCCATAAACCCAGCAGTTCCCAGAGATTTTCTGAAATCAACACAGAGCTTTGGAGAAGTTGCACAGCAGCACCTCCATAGGGTTTTGTCTTCCTGCTGATTTTTCACAGGTTTAAAGTTATTTAAATGCAGTTTGGGATTATTTACACAGTATCCAACTATTTCTGCTGTGGCACACTGCAGTGAGTGGTTCACTTCACTCATGGTTACAGAGGAGAGAGGGAGAGAAAGGGTGCACCTCAGTCCCCAGAGCTGGTTAGAGGGAAAGAAGGGGAATTCTGAGCAGCTCCTTTACCCCATCTCCATCAAAGGCAGCTCCAAAGTCGTACTCTCCTGTCTTCATGGTCTGCACCAGGTCAGCAGCGTAGGTCAGGTTGGGGTCAGGGTGGTGGCCCCCAAAGTCCTCCAGGGGGGTGCAGTTCACAGCTGAATTTGCTGGGGCTCCCAGCTCCTCGCACAGGATCTTCTTCACATAAGGGCCCACAACTGTCTCAGCAAAACAGAGAGGAAGGAGCTGGCTCAGCCCCCAGGGAGCTCTGCACCAGCCACGGCACCACCCACCTCAGGCTGCTCAGTTTGGGTCACTTTGGGTGCTTTTTGGTTTAGCAGCTTACATCAAAATCCACCCCATCCCTGCAGGTGTCCCAGGCCAGGCTGGACAGGGCTTGGGGCAATCTGGGCTAGAGGAAGGTGCCCCTGCCCATGGCAGGGGTGGAATTGGATGAGCTTTAAGGTCCCTCCCAGCCCAAAGCATTTCAGAATTGCATAAAACATTTCACAGAATCCTAGAAAGCTTTAGGTTGGAAGGAACTTTAAAGACCAGCTCATCCCAACCCCCAAAACACAACACTTGACAAAAGAAAATAACACAAGACATAAAAAATTTGCTCCCAAAAAGAAAAATCCAGTGTGCTACAAACCAAACCCCAAACTTGCAATATAAATTCCTGTCTGAAGTAGGTGACAAATCCCCAGGGACCCCTGACCCCACAGTGCCCCAAGCCCAGCCCTTTTTACCCCCGTGCATGGCATCGATGCGGATCTTGAGCTGGTTCTTCCCTGAGAGCAGCTCCTTCAAGGCACTGAAGTCAAAGATATTCCTCAGCATGCTGGCATAGGCTTCCACAGAGTCCACAATTTCCACTGGAAAAGAGGAGGAGACAGGGATCAACCCTCACAGCCTGGAATTGTGATAGCCAAGTCCTGTTGCTGTGCTGAGGGCCCTCAGAGTGAAGGGCCAGGGCTCAGCACAAAGCCCTTGAACATCCCAGAGGATCAGAACAGGGACAGAACAATGGGGCTAAATTAGGAATAATGGGGCTAAATTAGGGATTTAATTATAGGCTCTCACTGCTAATCAGGTCACAAGTGGACCTAAAAAATCAAACTCTGCTCTTTGGACTACCTTCAAGAGGGCTCAATCCCACTTCACTTAAATTTTAAAATATGTATACAAAATCAGATATTTAATTTCCACCAAAGTCAATGGGAAGGGTGAACTTCATAGTTCAAAAAGTTGCACCTTTGCAGCCAACATAAAAACAAAAAACAGCATAAAAATCCCACTACAAAGAAATGGAGACTGAGAGAAATGCCAACTTTTATCATCTTTTAACTTTGTTAATTACAAGCACCAGGAGATGGTAAAAAAAATACTTGCAGTATTTTTAAAAAGTCTTTTTTTACTTTAATTTCATATTTCACTGCTGACTGAGAAAAGTCACATGTGAAATGTAACAGCCTTCCTACTCACAGAGACAACTTTTATATGTGAAACCGTGGAAAAAAGTCAGTTGAAAGATTAAACTCTGCAATTTTTAATTAGGAAAATGCACTGCAGCTGCATTTTTCTATTTTCAAGTACATGTTTGCCTTGCAGAAAAAACAGCCTTTGATTTTAGGGAAGTTTGATGGATCAAGGTTTTGCTACTGAAGTAGAAACTTCTGCAGGACAGAAAATTATATCAATCAAAATCAACCAATAAATAAATGCCAGGAGCAATGTCCTCACGGGGATTATGCAACAGATGAGAAGGAGAGGTCACAATGGCCACAGGAACACCCCAATTCCTCACCCTTGCCAAGAGGAAGAACATTTGTTTACCTGTAAATGGCTTAAATTTGTTCTCCAGGTCAAACTGCTGCTTCCCAATGGTGCCCAAGTCCACCTGGAGATCTGGGCAGATGGCATATTCCTCAATTTTCTTGCTGATTTGGAAAATTTTATCTGTGATGGCTTCAGGAGCAGGACCTGCAAAATGAAATGGGCAAGGGGGAAGATGTTAAAGAATCCAACTGCAAGAGGAGTGAACTTGAGGAATGCAGCAAAGACTCGGGCTGGGAATGGAAGAGGAACACCAGGGAATGAGGGGAGCAGAGCATCACTTGCTCCATTAGGGGAACCACTGCTCAGGGCACTGATTTCTGGGATGTGAACAGAAAAGTGGATTCTCAGGTGGTGTGGGAAATGGATTTGTAGGGAATTCTCAAAGCCTGGCAGAAGGCTCACACAGTGTCCATCTGCGTGCAAACCTTGAGACAAGAAATGCTGAGTTAGAAACGCCACGGAATAGGACAGACATTGCAGAGAGAGAAATTAAACTAGAAACAAGCTTCAAAGGCTGGCCTTGCAAATGAGACCAGATACTTTAGAGAAATAGAATCATGAAAGATGCATTGTAGTGACACCCACGAGGGGTAATTTTAGATGATTGGCTTTAAGGCATTTACACCATGGTGGGACTAAAGCTGATAGGCCAAGAACCACTTATAATGCACTGTAATTAAGAAACAGCTGGCTTCTGATTGTGATAACGTGAATTCTAACACCTGTGTTGCCTCACCCTTCACATGAAACTGAAAACAGGGTAAAAGTTTTTAAAATGTCTCTCAGTTACCCCATCTCTGGCTCAGAAAAGGGCTTAATCCCGCAGGGTGGGCGCAAGAAGCAAACAATAACGGCAAGAGGAAGGAGAAGGCGGCAGGAGGAGCCTGACCTCCGTTGGCAATGTTGAATTTGATGCCGAAGTCGCCGCTGGGCCCGCCGGGGTTGTGGCTGGCCGTGAGGATGATGCCCCCGATGGCTTTGATCTTGCGGATGATGCAGGACACGGCCGGCGTGGACAGGATCCCGTTCTGCCCGATCACCAGGCGCCCGATCTGCGGGGAGAGGAGCACAGCGCAGCTCTCAGGGGCAGAGCCCAAACCCAGCCCCTGGCGGTGTGGCAGCAGCTCTCTGGCCACAGAGAGAAACACACGGCTCTCCCAGGCGTGTTCTGGGACAGGCTGTGAGGGTCACAGAAGAGAATGAGAACAATTCTTATCTCAGCCTGCTGCGCCTGCTGCTGTGAACATGTGGAACGTGTGATGCAGATTTGTCTGCCAAAGGTTGTTTCTTAATTAGCCAGTGGTGATGGTGTTTTAATTAAATCAAGTCCATGTGTAGCGAAATAGGGTAGAAAAAAAGCAATATGTTTCATAATGCATGGAGTTTATGTAACTTATTGCCCAGTCCTGGCTCGTTGCACTGACAGTATTGGAGGTTTGCACAGATGGGATGGGACTGCTGGGACACCTTCCTTGAGCTTTATTGTGGCATCAGCCTCATTTACATGGTTGAGACAATGGGATGGCAACAGCTCATGTCCTGCCAGCAGCAGCCAAAGATTTCTTTGGCACAGAGCATTTTAAAAACTTTCTAGCCAACAGCATATTGCTAAAGCTTGCAGATAATTGTTCTAGCCAATCACTAAAAGCTTCACACAATGCTTGTTTTTATGCTTTCTATTAACAATACACAATACTCCAATATTAAACCTAGAACCTTCTACAATCTTGCTAGGCATATTTTTCTGCAGTCTTAAGGTCTATCTTAACCAAGCCTAAAACTCAAACTATTGTTTCGTGTCCTTGCTTGCTGTACTATTGTAACTTTTCTACTTTCAGCTAGCTTTAAATTCTCTGCTCTTTCTGTTTCTGAGGCCTGCTTTCACAGCTTTCTGAACGTCTTCTTACTTTTCCTATTTCCCACACAGCCCAAACCCCAAACTCTGCCAACAGATAAAGCACAGCCCTGTTCCTGCCAAAGCTCCTCACAGTGCATCCGACCCCACTCTGTTGGAGCATTTTCCTCCATGAATGCTGCACGTGGATGTACTGAAGGGTTGGCATTAAACACCACAAAACCCAGCGTTTCCTCTGGCTGCGGTCTCAAATTTGCCTTCAAAACACACAGTGGGGCAGAGAGAAGCCAAAAGAACACAAAACTTGAACATCCTGGGAGCAGCTGCAGATTCTTCCTCGCAGCAGGCAGCACACCTCCTTCCCGTAAGTCCAGGGATATCTCTGAGATTGGATCCAGAGCAATGTGCTGAGCAATACAGCAGCTTCAGAATCCAGGCAATAAACCAGGAGGTGGAGAATTCCCTGGAAGAACACACTCCTTTCCACAGCCCCCAGATGAGGTGACAGGATTTAAAAGCACACCAGACCCCTCTGCACCAACTGAGGGGGTCAGACCCAGAACAGGCTGGGGAAAGAGGAGGGATTTCATTCAATCACAACCAGGAGCAGGAATCAAGAGGAGCATTCCCAGGCTGTGGTGGGTGCTGAGCCAAGGGCACGGGATGGCTGTGATTCCTGTCCCCTGGCACTGCCAGGTGCTAAGCCCCAGCCTCGCTGCCCATCAGTTATTGCATGGTCCAGCTGTCACAGCCCAGCTGCTGGCAGAGCTGCACCTCTAGCAAATAACAGCAGAAATGTGGAAAAAGCACTTTACAAACCCAGAGTGAGGGCCCTACCTCCAGCTCACACTGGAGCCCTGACTGTGCCCACACACTGATCACATTTATTGCACCTCCTGTTTCATTTGAAGCAGGGTTTGCTTTTCCCCCATTCTCACACACCCCTTGTCCTGTGCTTTATTCCAGCCTCCAAACTTTTCTCCTTCAGTTTCCCTGAGAACTCACGGGACCTCCAGGAAGCTCCTCTCCAAAATTTCCCCTCCTGCTCCCCAGTTTCCCTCTGAGGGTCACGTTCTGCAGCACCCCTGTGCATCAGTGCCCCAGGAATGCTGCAGAGGAAGGGAAAATAAGGGATTTTCCCTGCCAAAGCAGGCAGCAGCTGCAGGAGAGCTGGATGAACACATCAAATCCCTTGTCCTTGCCCTCCCTGCACACCTGAATTGCAGCTTTTCCCCACAGCAAGGAAGGAAAGGAAGGAACACTTGTGTCCATGTGAGCTGCTCTGTGATTTGGGTCCTCCTTGGCTTCCAGAGGTTTTCAGCTGCCATTCCCCACCCATCCAATGCTAAATCCTTTGTGGTGACCACTGGGGAAGTTTGCTCAGTGTAAAAATGTGCTGAACAATTTACACATGATCCTTTTTGAGTCTGTGGAATTTCTTATGAGGAAAACCTCAGGCTGCAATGATGGACAAACACCTTTCATGGATTTCTCAAAACAGACCCACTTTGTGCAGCAAGTTTGGGTTACAGCACTTCAAAACCATCCAGGCAATAATTCCACCCTGGTTTTACTGAAAACCCCATGAGGATGCAGACAGGGACCTCCTGCAGCCCCTCCTCCCCTCAGGAACACTGGGAACACGTTTTCCAGGCCATGGAAGTTGGTGGCTGCAGCTCCAGGGTGTTTCTGTGCAGGAGATGCAGCCCAAGCCACCAATCCCACACCCTGAGCACAACACTGACAGGCAGCAGCCAGACTGAGGAGAAAAATCCATGGAAAATACCCAAACCACCCCCTAAATCCCATTTAGGCAGACTGGGCCCAGTGCTGGAGAGCCAAGTCTGAGCTGGTGAGGATGAGCCTGATCTCCCCTCACCAGCAGACCTGTCCTGGTGTCAGGCACTCCAAGCCTGGCTCTGTGCACATTTTCCAGCTCTTCTGCTCAGCCCATACACTGATTTCAAAGGAAGACATTAATCTGCAATGCCTGAAGATTTTTTTCCCCACAAGACGGAAAACAGGTCGATTTAAAAAATAAGTAAATAAAATTCTCTCATCCTATTTTCCCATTCACTATTGATTACACTGCCCTAGTCAGGTTTTTTGTCAAACAAACTCCTAAAATCCAGGTCCCTTTGCACAAAGTTTGCTCTGCACTGAGAGATCAAGGACAGACAGCAGAGCCTTTTCTTCTAAAAAAGTAGAAGGAAACAAAGACAAAAGCCCATTGCATGAACCACGATCTACCACAAACACACAAGCCTCTTGCTCTGCTTCCAAAACACAGAATTCCAGCACAACTGAGCTCCCTATAAAGGCTGTCACTCACTTGCTGACACTCATATCAATTTTCAAAGGCTCCCTAAGCATTTATCCCACAGCCACAACTTACACCTGGCAAGAAAGGCAAAACATGGTTGTTTCTTCTCCTTTGCCACTCTGGTGGCTCTCCCTGGTAGTTCATTTCTGAACAGTATCAGGGCTTTATATTCTCGTGGAAAGACTGAAAAATCCACAGGTGCCAACAGCTTGGGGCATGTCAAAGCACAAAACAGGAACACACAAACCCCAGGCAGAATTTATTTTCCTTTCCCCACACGTTATTTTCTGCCCAATTGCAACACTTAGAGTGAAAAAACAGTAATTTCTGCATCCCCTAACTGATCTTCCATTAAAAACATCACTATTAGCAGTTGAATAAAACCTTTGGGGAAATTAAATCTCCCAGTGCCTCATTTCTGCTGGATTTCTGCATTTCTCAGCCACACCCCACAGGAATTCAGCCGTTTAACATTTACCAACCCCGTTGGCAGCAGCCATTTGGACAATCAGTTCCACTGCAGACTTATTGAGGTACCTCCCATCACCTCCAACCACCAGAGAGGCTCCTTGGCGATCCCTTAGGTCTATGGAAAAAAATATGCTCTGGATAAAATTCTGCAAATAGTTCAGCTTGGATTCAAAGTAGAAGGTCTTCCTCCTCAGGCCGCTGGTTCCCGGTTTCTGGTCGCTGTAGGGAGCTGTCGGCACCGTCACCAGAGGCAGGGGAGCGTCTTCCATGGCCTTTTGTCACACAGATGCATTTAAAAAGTCAAATATGGCAAAATTAACCCCCAACCTTGACACAGCAATGGCCCACCTATGAGACAGGAGTTCGGGGGAGCTGCTGAGCACCCAAAAATAGCTCCCTGCACCTTCTGTAACCGAAGCCGTGTCCTCGCACTTGCGGTGGGGGATCAATGTCAGGGAGAAGGCACAATTCCACGCTGCTGCCCCTCACTGTAAAGGATTCCTGTCTTCTCTGTCACCTCCTGGTTGCCACAGGCACCGCTCCCAGCCATCCCATGGAGCCCAGCAGTGTCAATCCGTGTGGATCTCCCTGGGGCAGGGAGGTGGGAGCAGCCCAGCCCCGCTCAGATGCGTTTTCCCAGATCCACGGGGCAGGGCCAGGCGTGGCCGCACGCTGGGGCTCTGGAGGCAAACTTCCAGCAGGATCCTGCTGGAGCTATTTTGCAAAGTCTGGTGAGTTAAAGGTCACTCTTAAAATGGAAGGGAACAGATCTGTTACCTCCCGTTCGCTCATGCGACTCCTGCCCCGACAACCTGACTTCCCACGGCTCCCTGAAACACAGGGAGAATTTCCAGCAGGAACAGCTGGCCAGCCTTTGGCTGGAAAGCCTCATGAGCCTCAGCTGAGCACCACCAGCAAGTCTCACCCAGATGAAAATCACAAAAAAACTATAAAATGCTTGGGAAAACTGCATCCCATAACGCTGTTCATTGTGGGACAGCCTAAACACCAACAGAAGAGACTCAGATCCCAAGAAACTTCTGTGAACCTCATCTTCCCAAGCATGGGGAAGGTAAATGAGGGAAAGGAACGTGGTGGACTCCCCATCCCTGGAAGTGCCCAAGGCCAGCTTGGAGCAACCTGGGATAGTGGAAGGTGTTCCTGTCCATGGTAGGGGGAATGGGATGGGCTTTAGGGTCCCCTCCCACCCAAACCATTCCGTGATTCTAAAACCAGCCTTTCCTCCAAGCCTCTTTAACAACACTCAGAGTCCTCTGCCTGAGCTGCTGGAAACAATTTCTAGATATCACTGGAGCAATTAAAGAACAGACACTTGGTAATGACTCTGTTTAAGGCAGCAAAAAGGAGATGTGTACACACAGCTGAATTGTGACAGGTCTGAA